CGGGGCGCCCGAGGCCTGATGCCGCCCCGGCCTCTGCCGCAGGCGCCGTCCTGACGTTCCTGGACTCGCACGTGGAGTGCAATGTGGGGTGGCTGGAGCCGCTGCTGGAGAGGGTCCGCCTGAGCCGGGCCAAGGTCTCCTGCCCCGTCATCGAGGTCATCAGTGACAAGGACATGAGGTAAGGCAGCTCGCGCCCCTGGGGAACCCAAAACCCACACCAGCGGCTTGAGCAAAACCTCTTACTGGGACCACCAACATATTAATTACTGGAAGACACAGCTCCAGACCTCCTAACTGGCCTTCAGCAGCGTTTCACAAGGGGTACGTAACGTTGCTGTTCACCAGAAATTAACATTAGACGTGGACGTGGCCCCTTCATTTACCACACACGCCTTTTCCCTTTTTCGTGACTTTTAGTACATGAAGAGGATTCCTGATGAAATTTGTTAAAATACTGTTTTAATTATGTACAGATACTCATCTTCACTCATTAAGGATGACATTTCAATCAGGAATGTGACTCAGAATTAGTCATCCCGATCTTTTCTCCGTTTAGTTACATGACCGTGGACAACTTTCAGCGTGGGATTTTTACTTGGCCAATGAATTTTGGATGGAGGCAGATTCCACAAGAGGTGATCGAGAAAAATAAAATCAAGGAAACTGATATAATAAGGTAAAAAAAAGCAAATGTGAGAGCTTTGTAAACCAACCTGTTCCTTTTTTAATAATTAAGCAACAAAGGCTTCTTCAAGGCCAAATGTTGTTCCTTTGCTTGTAAGGACAATAGAGGCGATGGTACCCTGCGGGCAATCACATCAGACATGGATAAAGCCCAGGCAGCCTTTCTCACCTCTTGCGGCACTGCTGGCGTTTCGCCGGTGCTGCCAGGGCCGGGGGAATGTACCAGTGCATTTTTCTCTTCCATGCCCCATTACGGCTTTCAGACTGGGTAAAGCCACCCAAATGTCATCTATTTTAACATTGCATCTGTCAACCTGCAGTGAAGTGACAAACCGGGTGGTCCTTGCTGTTTCTGTAAGTGCAGGCTCAGGCACCGTCCCCGAGCATTTAGTAGTCCTCAGCTTCTCAATGATTCCCTCGTCAAAGCAAGCGGAAAGGGACGGGCGCTTCCCGTCCAGCTGACATGCCGTGTGGCTTCTCTGTTCCCAGGTGCCCGGTCATGGCAGGTGGCCTGTTTTCCATCGATAAGAAGTATTTTTTTGAGCTGGGAATGTACGACCCAGGACTGGATGTTTGGGGAGGTGAAAATATGGAGATTTCATTCAAGGTATGTCGCTCTCACACACCTTCATCCCCATCAGCCTGGCTCGGGTGCTTGGGGCTCAGCCAGGGTCTCCCCGGGGCAGCCCCCGGCTGGAGACCCCCTGCCCCTGGCAGTTTACTTCTCTGCTTCTCTTCTGGCTTGCACAAAGCCAGCACCCAACATTTGCCCGTGTTTCTATCAAAGCAACCTCTGTTTCTCAGGTCTGGATGTGCGGGGGAGAGATTGAGATTGTTCCGTGCTCCAGAGTTGGGCACATTTTCAGGAACGACAATCCTTATTCCTTCCCGAAAGATCGTGTGAGAACAGTGGAGAGGAACTTGGCCCGCGTTGCGGAGGTCTGGCTGGACGAGTACAAGGAGTTATTCTACGGCCACGCTTACCATTTAGTCTTGAAAAACCTGGATGTTGGTGACCTGACTCAACAAATCCAACTGCGAAAGAAGCTTCAGTGCAAAAGCTTCAGATGGTACCTGGAGAACGTCTACCCGGACCTGGAAGCTCCCCTGGTTAAAGCCAGCGGGCTGGTACGTACCCAAATGACTTGCTATCCTTCATTTAAACATGTTTTCAGTGGCTGACTAGGGACTTGGTAGCATCCCAGTATGCTTGTCTCTGAGTTGCTTACCTGGCTTTGGTAACATGTTTGAATATTTAATAGTCACGGTGGTCTGGATTCCCCATTCCCCGGTATTTTTATAAAGAAGTAGATCAGAATTCCAAGAGACAACTTCCCGTCAAAGAGCCAGTTCAGCGTTTAAACACCAGCTGAGGTGCCCGTGCAGCAGTCGTGGTCAGGGGATGTGCCCCCAGGGCCGGAGGTCCAGCGTCCTCCCTACCTGCACAGCTTTTCGGCCACGGCAGGAGAGAGAAATTAGCGGTGCCTGGGCAGCGCAGGCAGGGACGGGCAGGAGGCCGGGGCCCCAGGCGCAGGCAGGGTTTGTACCGGTGCTCAGCCGCCAGCAGAGCGCAGCAGAAATCTGCTTTTCCTCTGCGCAGCCTGCAGATAGCGGAGTCTGGGCAGGCAGCGCAGGGCAGCAGCCTGGAAAAGTCCTGGCATTGATCATAGAACCATAGAATAGTTTGGGTTCGTTCTGCAGTGCAGGTGAAGCCTGCGCCTTGGGAGGGGTCAGTGGGCAGAAAACACCTTAAAGTGCCTGTTGGATTAAGTCCCCCGTCCTGCCTCCCCACAAGCCCCTTGCTGGCTGGGTTGCTGAGGAGTGTAACTGGGTCAGGCTCTGTTTCTCCTCCACCATCCCTCCATCTCTGCGCTGGGAAACTCGTGGTGCTCTCTGGCACCGGGTCTTGCTTGTGCAGTTACTCCCCAGGTGTTCAGTGTCGCTTAACCAACGTTAAAAGGTGAATTAAATAAGAATAAAATGTGGGTTCTGAATTTGGCCCAGCCCTGAGCCTCAGCAGAATATTGGCTGCTACTTTGAACGTTCGGAAGCCTCAAATATTCTGCCCAGAAAATATACAACATGATTGCAATCTAGTTACAATTGCAGTAACAAAAGTAAAATATCTGGTTTGTCAGCCATGCCAGGAATGAAAACTAAAGGGTTTGCTGCCTTCCCCACCCATCCCCGTCTCCCAGTGCCGCGGCAGGAGCAGCACTTGCCGAGAGGAGGTGGCCAGGAGCCGGCGACCACAGGGCTGGCACGGCTGGGAGAGCGGGAACAAGAACTGCCTGTCCCCTCCATCCCTGCCAAGGCGCACGGCTTCCAGTTACTGCACCGGCTCTTCTGGGCGCCAGGAAAAAGCACAGCAACCATTTGGCTGCGTTTCAGGCTTGTCTGTGGGCCAGGGGTGTAACGTGAAGGTTCCCCGTCACAGGGAACCTAGGGATCCCTAGGGATCAAGTCAGGCTCTCCTCCAGCCGCAGCTGGTACATTATTTTCATGACTGAGCTGTGAAGGTGTGGGAGGGCAGCTCTGCAGAGAGCACAGGGAGGGATGCCGTGCTTCCTCTGGGTGACCTCTTGGCACTCGTGGAAAAGCTGTAGGGAACTGCTGGGTTCGGCACTTCAGTGGATTAAGAGCTGTGCATCCCTTCGGACGCGTCTGTCGGTCTCGGCGTGGCAGCAGCAGCCGTTTGCTGCTCAGAGCAGCTGCAAGCACACGAACTGAGGGCTGTCTGCTGGGGCAGCCGCTCCGAAACTGTTGTATGGCTGAAAGCCCGTGTCCCTGCATTGCCTTCTAGAAAGCACCGTTTGAATTAGACTGAAGGCTTCAGTGAAACATTGGCTTAAGTGACATTTTTTAAAAAGAATTAGCAGTAATAGTCTTGAGAACTTCAAAAAATGGAAATTGCTTGAGAAATACTCACTTTTTCAGCTCTTTTGTTTCAATCAGAGCAATAAAGCTTAATGTCAAATTCAGTGCAAGGCAGTTAGACCATATAGAGAGACCTCCATTTCAACTGAACCGAAACCTCAGCTTTTCAGAGGTGTTTCTGAAAATTTTCAAGATGTTGCCTTGCTTTGTCCTGATTCAGGCCACCTGAATCGCTCTTTTATCTTCATTCTCAAAATTTAATAGGGCAGAAAATCTGTTTTTCAGCTAGCTCTGCAAATTCCAGCTGTGCTGAACACTATCCAAAGTTACTTGAGAACTGTTTTCTGAATAGCCTGTTTATTCACCGGGATTAGTTCGTAAGTTCTTCATAAATTTTGAAGGAAGGAGAAGGAACGGCATTTGCAAGGAATCGGAGATGTGAGCAGCCCCGACTGAAGCATCACTGGGGTTGTCTGAGGAGCCGGTGCCTGCGGCCGACCAAGCCCTCTGCGGCTGTGAGTCCCTGCAGCGTGGTGGGCTTCAGCCCAGGAACCAGAGGGGGCTGGTAGAGCTCAGTCCAGTGTTTTCAGCTTTCCTGTATAATCTCCCGTACTCCTAAGCAACACGCCACGCAAACAGCGTTAAGAAAACGCTTCTTGCAGAGCACGCTCTGTGCGGACGTGGGCGCTGGCCAGGCGGTGGGGTGCCAGCTCACCAGTGGGGGACGGGTGCAGGGAGAAAGAGCAAAGAGAAGCCGAGCGAAGGAGCAGAGCCTGATGCTCCCTTGCAGCAAGCTGGGCGCTGAATACACACGCTCCGAAAAACATCTGGTCTGCACTACCCAGGGCGCAGTGGTCACTCGTCCTCTCTTTCTCCCCACCAGAGCGAGGTAACGGCAGTTCGGTTAAAAACAGCTTAATGATGATGTTCCTGCCGGGGTTCCCCGCTTTGGGGGACCACGTCTGCATTTCCCCATTGATGACAGGTACCAAGACAACCAACCTGGATGGAAAACAGGAAGAGTTACCTCGGGGTGGGGCACCGAGCGCAGCCCAGATAGTGATGGAGTCGTTCCCTGGGGCCAGCCGCGGGGTCCGTGGTGGGCTGCCGGAGCCCAGGGCCCCGTGCCCCAGCTGGGAGGGGACCGGCTGGAGCCGGGATGGGACCACCAGGCGCTTGCTCAGCTGTGCGCGGTGGCTGCTCACCTCCTTCACGGCATAGCAACGGGAAGGGATTCTGCAGTTGTTATTTTTGGGAGCTGTTGTTCTGGGGATTTGCAGAACAGGAACATTAGCTATGGCCAAAAAAACCCAAACAAGAACGGTCTCATCCAGCCTTGAATGTTTCTGGAAGGGGCTAGTTTCAAGCTTCTCTCAGTAGAAGAACATATGTAGTGGACCACATGTGCATTTACACACCCCTCCAAGGACTATGACACATCGTCTCTGCTTCGCTAAGTGGACAGTATTAATCAGTGACCTGCTTAACTGCAGTGTAACAGCCTCTCCTCTTTCTTGGGAATTTATGTCTAAATTTGCATTTTGGTGCTATTTTCTAGCTTGTTAACGTAGCCATGGCGAGATGCATCACCGTGGAAAACACTACTCTAGCTTTTGAGGCGTGCGATGTTAACAACAAGGTAAGGGTACCCTGCATACTGAGTATGCAATACTGTTTCTAGTGCATGGCGTAATGCTCCTGTACCTCCCCTTGGTGACCTGCCCTCTCCCCGGGAGCTAATGCAGTCCTTCCCACTGGGAGACACGGCCAAACAATGCCTGGGAGCAGCAAGGGGCAGGAATTGCCTCTGTTTGCAAAGCCTGTAGCCAAGCAACAACCCCACAACCAGCAAATTCAGCTGGAATAGGAAGGTTCGATAAAGCATGAGCCTGCACGTGAAATTGGGGAGAAACATTTAATACAAGCCTGTGTTTTTTCTGAAAACCAGCCAGCCGCACTCTGTCACTAGATGGGAAGCAGTTGCTGTGGACAACCTCTCCCTTCCTTTACATGCAGCCTTTCTTAGGCAGTTCCCTGCTAATTGCTCACCGCTGGCACAGGGCAGCGTGCGGCTCGGGGGCCTGTTGTGTACGGGGGTTTATCCACTTGCACCCCAGCACCAGGGTGCAGCCAGGGGAGGTGGCAGGGCAGGAGTGCACAGCAATCGGGTTTAGGGTCTGGGCTGCTGCGGTGGGAGTTGCTCCCAGAGCCTGCACTGGGCTGTCCTGAGCTTTTTAGCTCTGCAAATCCATAGGAAAGGTCTTCCCATGGATCATGGCTTTCCTCATCCTCTGGTCCCGGCTGAGGGCAGGAGGAAGGCGAGGAGAACCTCTGCCAGCTGCTTGCCAGCCTTGAGCAGCCGGCCCCGCTGGGGGAAGGCGAGCCGGGTAACAGCTCTCCCTGGTCTCTCCCCGGTCTCTCCCCACAGAACCAAAAGTTCAACTACACCTGGCTGAGGCTGATCCAGCACGGAGAGCTCTGCGTCGC